GGTCTCGCTCTTGCTCAGGCTGGTCTCGAACTCCTGAGCTCAAACCATCCGCCCGCCTCGGCCTCCCAGAGTGCTAGGATTACAGGCGTGAGCCACCACGCCCGGTGGTTCAAAAAGTTACTAACTTTTTGAACAAAAATAATATATGCTCAAATTTAAATTTCAAATCAAAATAAAATTTCAAATATATAGGAAAGGATATAAAAAAATGAAAATCACTCACTTTATGATTATCCAGAGAGAACTATTATTAATATTTTTATGTATTAATATTTCCTTCCAGTCTTTTATTAGATATGTACTTTACATGAATAGTCTTTTGTTTAGACATACATTTTATACACACACCCAAACACACACAGACAGTTAGGATTGTGCTGCAGATGAAGTTTTATATGTTGTTATTTTCTTTTACTATATTGTGAACATTTTTGATGAGGAACATATGATTGATAAAATATACTACAAGATATGTGTAATATCTGTAATATTCTGACTTCAACCTTGAAAGTAAATTGCCACTTTGTGAAGTTCGGATAGGTATATAGAGTGACAGATACAGATTTTTCGGCTCAGCTGGAGCAGTTGTTTCTAGCACCTTGAGAGGAGCTTGTAGCTTATTACTTCAGTCCCAAAATATGGGAAAAGGTGATACTTCTTTTGCCTGTAATCAAAACCACTGCTGATTTATCTACTATAACTACATCAAGCCTGGTTGGATGTATTATAAAAAGTGTGGGCATATAAATATAGAGGCAAAGGGCGATGGAAAGCCACACCCTTGAACCTAGAGCACGAAGATGTCTGCTGTCTGCTGATACATTTATTCTATCGTATGCATGTGGAATTGTTGCAGTAAGTTCTCGCACACTGTATTTGTGGTGTTTGAAGACATGACAACCAGATTTACTTTGCATTAGGCATTTTTTTCTGAACATTTTCTTGAACGGCCTCTGGAAAAAATTATAGAAATGAAAAATTTATCTTTCTGGGTAGCTGTTAGTATTTTGTCATTTGCCTTATCTGACTTAATGGACTACATATCCTCATTTTAATCAAAGATCTTTTTACATCTTTTTTATTTGACTTTCATTTTTTGTGTTAAAATTCACTAGGTCTTTCTAGAGGGACATTTATTTTGAGCCCATGATATGCTAGACAGTATACCATTTATATTGTCTTTTATACAAATGCCATTTATATTGTTTGAGCTTAACAGTAACAACATAAGGTACATAATATCACCTTTATTTTACATATGAGGAAACTTGGATTTAGGAAGGTCAAATGACTTGGCCAGGGTCTCACAGCTAGTCGGTAGAAGACCTGGTGTCAGGTCTTGGTCCCTGACATCAGAGTCATTCTTTTCTACTATGTGCAGAATTTGGCCTGCCCCTCTGCTGCAATGTGCTGCTTTATGTTTCTGCTCCGAGGGGCCAGTGGACTTCTATAGAGCTGTATTATTTTCATCTATGGTCATCTAACATTCTAATACTTTTAGTGATAGAGCTTCCTTTTTTTTAATTAAAAACATTCTATTAGTGATTTCACATTAGATGGTATAATGTTTTCCCCTCTTTTTGGTAGGTTGGAGCAGGATGGATTGGAAAATGTAAGTCTTTCTTGGTTTTTGGTTTGCCATAGATTATTTCCATGTCTTTAAACCTGCATATCCAGTTAGAGCTAGGTCAGGTTCTTGACAAATGCCTAATCACTGAATCTAGCATGCACATATGCAGATTTAAACATTGCTACAGGAATGGGTATTCTAAAACATGGCAATTGTCTTGCAGGCCTGTGGCACTTTTAAGAACCTATCTATTCTCCCTATAGGCAGTCCTTATTCAAGACTTGTCCTGTTTTATTCAGGACTGGCTATTCCTTCAGACAGCATAGTCTCTCTTTGTATTTGTTAATATATTTATCCACCCATGTCTCTGGTATGCCACGTGCTTTTTCTTGCTGTTTTCAGCAAAGAAGTGAGTGGGAAGGAGAGCTGTTTCTAATTTTAAATACATGGGAGAAGCCTATTCTAGATAACGTAAGCAGGCAAGTTCTCCAGTTCTTTCATGTAACTTTTCTTCCTTGGAGCCTGAGACCTCAGGAGGAGAGAGTGAGGAATCACACTGGACAAATTTCTGTGATAGAAATTGCAACTTATTTATGGGAGTTATTCCCCTACATCCCAACAGTAAATTCATTTAGCTTCGACCCTCTCCTATCCCATCTCTCAAACCTTGTGAGCTCCAAAATTTGATAATTGTTATGGCATTTTAAAAAGTTGTGAAAATTCCTGTATCTCAATTTGTTTTCAGTTGGCTACAGGTTTCAAAATTAATCACACAGTTAATTGAAGTATTGAAAAGGTTGCTCTTACTGGAGGGCATTGTTGCAACATACTGTAGAGTTTAATTTTTTGTAGCATTAATGGTTGCTCTCTCTAGTTGTTAAAGTGACTTATATTCCTCAAGCATTTTTGAGTGTCTTATTACATCCATTTAAGGAAGGAACATCAAGTGTTACAATAAAAGCTGTATCTGGCACTCTATCAATAAGAAAGCTCTAGAAGGAGGCATTTCTGTCATTCCCAGAGACGAATCTTCAATTTAACAATCATCATCCCAGGAAAACGGATGTTTAAAGAAAAAGAAAGAAAAAAGAAATCATCCAAGTCTGACCGTTATGTTTAAATAAGATTACTAGTGGTTATTTATTTCTTTGTATTTTTAAAAAGAAAAAAAGGTTAAAAATTCTCCTCATGGACCTTATGCAGCAGTATTGATTTTTGTGAATCTGTGCAGTCTAATGGATTTCTTGTGGAAATGGAGATAGAGCATAGGGAGGGTAAGGGAGAATTATTTGGGGCCACCTGTTATATGAATTTTTTTTACCTGGAGTCTTTGACCTGTCATCACCATTAGTCCTCAGTTTGCTACCCCACGAAGCTCTGTTAGGTTCATTTTGTAAACACGGAGAGTGAAGTATATTACTTGAGCGATCTGTGGTAATGAGGTCAGTCTTTTGGTATGATTATTATATAATTTAACTTTTTGAGATATAGCACAACATTTTGCAAAGTAGTGTCTGGCATTTTTCCCTTCAGCTTCAAATATATTTTTTAAAATAATTGACACCATCCTAATGGGATTTGTTAGGAAAAATGCATTTTAAGGCTCATAGTAAAATTCTTTAAAAGTTAGAATCCTTTTTTCTGAATTTCCTTTTTCTTGAAGTTACAAATTAAGGGGCTCATATGCATCCTACTTTCTGTCTCCTTAAACTTATGTGCTGAGCATTTGAGTTTTGTTTCTATAACCAGTACGCTGGGAGCGGACCCTTGGAGCCATTGTAAGACAGAAGAATCAGCCAATGACTCCTGAGGCAGTGAAGGCTAATTGGAAAAAGATCTGTGACTTCAATAATGCCAGCAAACCTCAGACTATCCAAGGTAAGGAGATTCCCAAGTCAATCAGCCCTAGTTGGGGAACCAGAGACAGCAAACATTTTCTTCTCTTATGGAATTGTCTTCTATCTTAATTGTGCTTAGACACTTGAATCATCTGTAGCATATTTTCTGCTGTAGTAGGTATTAGAACTCTTCACTTTTAAGATACTTTTGTTATTCTCACTGTCAGTTTTTCAGCTTTTTAAAAATCCTGGTTTTTTGGTTTATGTGTGCTTGGGGGATAGATGGCATGAGGTGCCTATTCATTTGTGCTAAATGTACCTACTCCTTTGCTGATGGTTGATTTCAGAGTCTTCCATTATCTTGCCATGTGCTAGATAATCTGACCTGAGTTTTCTCTATTTCCCCAAAAGTTTATTTAAGCCTATTTTACTTAGGCTTAGCTCTTTTCTGTCTAGTGAAGAAATGTGCCTTTGTTTCAGCACTTTGTTTTTGCTACTGTTTCTCTGCCTTTCTACCCCACCCCTTCCTTCTTTTACAACCTCTGCTATTAATAATTTTAATGCTTCCTTAGAAAAACTCAAGCCCCAGATATTCAACAAAACCTCCCCAGATATTCTGGGCTACACTGATCTTTCTGTTAGCTGAACTAAGTGGTAGGACCACTTGAGCATCTAGTCGTAACTGTTTTACACTGCTTTTGTTTCACAAATGTATGGTTCCTTAACTGCAGGGTAAGTTCCTTTGAGGCAGAGACTGTGTGTGTCTTGTATGTACTTCTTTTGTATTTGGTTTTAGGATAGTGCTGAACTCATAGAAGGGATTTAGTAATTGCTTGTTACCTTGAATTATTTAATCACCTGTGACATGCCGTAAGAATAGATAACCAAATAAGTCACATTTTTTAAAAAAATGTAACTCACATATGTGTATAATATGTGCAATTTAAAAGAATTTCCTGAGAAAGATCATGATTCAGGGCCATTTTATAGGAAAACATTTTTTTTTTTTTACTTCTTAGTAATGTATTCAAAGTTTGATAGAAGAGTATATACGAAAAATGACTATTCTGTTTTCTCCTTAATACTTTCCTACCTGCTGGTCACTCACTGAAATTTTCATTATGCTTTTTCTCAATCAGATGATAACATGCTTGTTATGTCATATATGGTAGCATTTTTGTATTCTATATTTTGATATTTGAAATAAATTTATTCAATAACAGTCACCGATCAATGAAAATAAGCGGAAGAAACAAAGCAAGAATATAGTAAAAACTTTAATATCTACCTCAAAAAGTATTTCTGCCTCGGATGTATTAGACTTATTAAAAAAGCTAATTGAATAATTATAAGTGAAAAGATACCTCTAATATTTGAAATATAATTAAAAAAATCATTTTTCAATAAGAGTTGACTTTCCAGAGCACTTGTTCCAGAGTTTTCATTTTAGAGATGATGGAACTAAATTCCAGAAAAACTAAACTAGCCAGCGTTCGAGCCAAGACTTAGATTGTCTATCTCTGAGTACAGTACTTTTAGCCTATACCAAGGTGCCTTTCAATTAAATGGCCTTCCCTCTAGACAGCAATCTGAACGGGGTGATAGGGAGAGGATTGGCATCACCAGGAATGGTAGATATTCCTGGTCATCTCAGACTCTGTGGTTTGGTTATATTTTTTTCCCGAATTCACAGAGTTGTTAAAAAGGTCCCAGAGCCTTCAGAATATCTTATACATATGTGGATGCCCTATGTGCCTCCTTTATTAACCTTTTAGACCCCAGAACAGTACCTTTCCATCCCTGTCTGGGGTCACTGGTCATAATGATGGTTTTCTCTGGAAGAATTTCTGGTACTGTGTTCAGAGCTATTAACTTGTACAGACCTGGGTGGATAATCTTGGCATTCTGCCATCTTGGGGGACAGGTGATGGTGAAGAGAGAAGGAAAATCAGTTGTCTCTCCACCAGACAGAAATTGTGTGTCTTTAGAAAAGTATCCCACTTTACAGAGTTGTAAGATAGCTCAAAGACATTGAAAAGCTTAGAGCCTGCTTAGAATTAGATAACCAGGGAAGGGTACGTTAGACAATGCCTTGTTTTTCACTGAAGACACCCATTTATCTTTGGTCTATTTCAGAGTCTTTAATGATTTTTTCCTACAGTAGCCTGACATAATATTAATACATTCAGTTCATGAGTGACAATGGAGGTTCTGTAGTAGGTTTGCTGAATGTTATAGAAATACTTATCTAGCATATTGTAGCTTTTTTTAGTCACATCTTTAACAAAGTTTATTTTTTATTTTAGAGTCAACTGGAGGTATGCTTGAAGTTCTAAGTAAAATAGATTCAGAAGAAGGAGTTTCAGCAAATCATACCAGTCATACAGCATCTGCAGCAACATCAGGATTTGTAAGTGGCAAAAAAGCCTAAAGCTTTTGCGTTCTCTGGAAACTTTTTTCTCCCTCCCTCTTTTCTTCCTTCCTTCCTAACCCGCTTCTCTCTAGTTTGCTTTCCGATGCATTCACTCTCTTTCAGTCTCTAATAATGGAGAAAAGCAGCGGCAGAGTTAATTTAAAATAGAGGATTTATTGAGAAATCATTTATGATTAACTTTACAAGGCTGATTCTGACATACAGGGAATTCATGACAGATCAACCACATGAGGAGGTGGCTTGGGATCAATTCTTGAATTCTAAAGCTGTCTAGACTACTTTATTCTTCTTTTTAACTTCTCTTTCTCTTCTAAGATTTCTCTGGACTGTACCATGCTTTTCTTTCCCCTAATGGAAGACTGGCTTGAAAGATCGGGGAAATTGGGTGTCAGTTTATGAGGTTTTTCCTAGTGTCGAAGTGGGCTAGGAGAATGGGAAGATAAGCCACTCAGCTTCTTCCCTTGGCTTTTCTGGATAATTGGAAACAGAGGTGCTGAAAACTTATCATGAACGTTTTAGAGGGATACTCTTTACTTGCATGTGACTTTTAGTAATCTCCCTTTGAGGGTGTGATGAATCAAGTTAGTTGCCTGACTGGTGCTTTAGCCACCTTTTTTTCCCCCATTGCTCTTTGGAAATTAGCTCAGGGAGGTACTGGATGGAAGAGGGAACAGTTACCTCAACTCTTGATGAAAAGGACTTAGAGGCTAAACTAATACTAGTCTTGATGTTTGTGCCTGCCCAGCCTATCTACCTTCCATATGTACAGTTCTCATTCTGCCCATTAATAGCTTTTTATCTCTTCAAGCCTAGCTCTAAATTGATTTTAAGTGGATTGCAGTTGTGTGGAAATGTGTGTGTGTGGAGGGGGGTAGGGACTGTGACTCGATATGACTCCTGGAGAGTTTCCCCCTTCACCTACCACACACAAAGCTTTATGCTTCTTTATTGAAAATGCCTATAATCAGCAAAACTTTGTTAAAATATTGACATAAACAATTCCAAAAAGTTTTTTCACATACAAAAAATTATTTTCTAAGCGTTATCGTTAAACATAAATGACCATAAAACTTATTTATAAAATATGTGCTAAATATTGATAGAATTTAAATGAACCTAAGCTCAAATATTAATGTAACTTTTGCTTTCTCTCCTTCAGTACAGTTAGACAAAGTGTCATTTTTTAAAAACCATCATTTGTAATCCTACTGTAGTCATTATTTTTGTAACTTTTTAGAAAAGGATATTATATTAGTGGCTCTTCTGGGTCATTTCTTTCAAGGGGAAGCATTGATAGATTGTATTTTGAAAATATTTCAATATGGCTGCAAGTGAAAAGCTTCCCATTATGTCAGAAGTTCTAATAGAATTCTGGTTATAGCTCCTGTGAAATTTCCCAATTTACTGTCTCCTGTATGTATCCTTTTGTTTTTAATTGTGCTGGATAAATAGTAAGAAATAAATTATTTGCCACATTAGATTCTAGTGTTTTGTGACCCAGGGCAGGCATATAGATAAAGAAAATTCGGAATCAAATTTTAAGCCTAAGAATATGCTCAGTATATAAATGTGATTTTACTTTACAATAGGGGTTTACAGACTTTTTTTGGTGAAGGGCCATATAGTAAATATTTTAGGCGTTGTGGGCCACATCCTGTTTCTGTTGCATATTATTCCTGTTTTTCTTATTTTTAACTACCCTATAAAAACATTTTTCACTCTTAGCCCTTGTTCGCCAATTCCTGCTTTAGGATAGAAGTGATTGAAAAATTTGACATTGTTCTTTTATAACCTAATATGTGCTTCACTCATTAGCTAGACATCATCACTGAATAGAAAAATACAATGTCCAATTAGACAAAAGACATTTCTAGGAAGGGACTTCAGGTTAAATCTCATTTTAATTAAAACTATTATGAGGCAGGAAAATTTATATGCCTTAAGCCATGTTTTGCTCATCTGTTTACAGTGAATTTTATCCATGTGATCTTATAGAGCAATTTACTGTCCCTAATTACCACAAATTCCTTATTTTCTGGATTTTGGGGTAGCTAATAGTTGCAAGATTAGAGACAGGAAAGTTGAAAATGAGGCATATTCTCTGTTAGTAAGAAGCAAGCAATAAAAAAATACTTATCTGTAAATGAAGTCCTTTTCTACACGTTATCTAATTGGTTTGTATTTTAAAAAATCGAAGATAATGAAGTAATTATGCCTCATCAAATTCACTGACATTGTATTCATATCTTTTCAAAAGCAAAACTAAGTATGTAAGCAGTTAATTGTTTTGAAAAGTTAAAATTTCAAGAATTTAACAAAAATATCAATGAAAAAATCATTTTTTACAACTATCCTATAGGCTGGAGCTATTGGCCATAAACTCCCTCCATTTTCTTCTGCTTATACGGAACTGGAAACTATTATGTATGCCCTTGGAGTGGGAGCATCAGTCAAGAATCCAAAAGATTTGAAATTTATTTATGAAGGAAGCTCTGATTTCTCCTGTTTGCCTACCTTTGGAGTTATAGTGGGTCAGAAGTCTATAATGGGTGGAGGATTAGCAGATATTCCTGGGCTTTCAGTCAACCTTGCAAAGGTATGCATAAGAAATCTTTATTTTGCTTTTCTTCTGTTTTTTTAAATATTATTCATAAATGTCATATCCTCTATGTGTATGTGTCTATAGAGCATGTGTATGTATATGTATTTTTATATATAATTATGAAATAGTTTATAATGATTGGTTCAGGAGTAAAAATTTAGCATATCTTTTGATATTTTCTTTCTAAGAGTAAAAGAGGGCAGAGTTTGTTTAAAATGCCAGCAAATGCCAGATGTGGTGGCTCACACCTGTAATCCTAGCACTTTGGGAGGCTGAGGTGGGAGGATCGCTTGAGGCCAGGAGTTGGAGAACAGCCTGGGCAACATAGTGAGACTTTGTCTCTACAAAAAATAAGAAAAATTTGCTGGGTGTTGTGGCTTGTGCCTGTAGTCCCAGTTACTTGGAAGGCTGAGGCAGGAGGATAAGTTGAGCCCAGGAGTTTAAGGAGCTATGATTGTGCCACTGCACTCCAGCCTGGGCGACAGGGTGAGAACTTGTCTCTAAATAAATAAATAAATAAACAAATAAACAAATAAATAAACAAACAAATAAATAAATAAAAAAATAAAACGAGCCAGCAAAAAGAAGAAAATAACAATTACGTATAGTCTCATAACCCTGGCACAATGTTATTAATCCTCTCTCTGCCATTTACTTGCTGCTTGACCAAGGGTAAATAACTTCTCTAGGCTTCATTTTCCTTATCTATAAAATGGATATGGTAATGATATTATGATATCATGATATTAGTGAAGGAGCAAGCCAGGTAATTATCTGTGGGAAGAATATTTGGGGCAGAGAGAACAAGTATAAAAGGCCCTGGGGTAGGTGCATACTTGGCTTGTTTTGGGAATAGCAAGGGGGGCCAGTATAGCTGTAGACTGAGCAAGGGGGCAATGGTAGGAGAAGAGGGCCTTGTAGTCACTGTACGGATTTTGGCTTATACTCTGATTAACCTGGGAAGCCAGTTGTAGCTTTTTCAGCTGAGGAGTGACGTGATCTGGCTGTGTTCACTCAAGGCTCAAGCTTGCCGCCATGTGGAAGATAGATTGTATGGGAGCCAAGCATGAAAGCGGAGAAACCAGTTAAGAGTCTAGTATAGTAATCTAAGTAAAAGTGCTGGATATGAGGGTAAGAAAAGAGGAGTCAAAGATGAAGGTGTTCTAGACAACTGGGATTATACATCTATCTATCTAAATACACATATGTATATAATATACAATGTATTTAATATGCATAGTAGTTACACATGCACTTATTTTAAGGTGGGAATGATCAGGAGTTAGTTTTGGATGAATTTGAGATACTTATTACACATTTCAGTGCAGATGTAAAATGAATAGTTAAATGTATGAGTCTGGGGGAGAGATCTAACTGGGGTCCGTCCGTAGCATTTAGGTGATGTTAAAGACTTGAGACTAGACGAAGTCACCTAATGAGTGAGTACAAATAGAGAGGAGGCCTCAGTTTAGGAGCCCTGCAGCGTTTAGAGCGTGAAGAGATGCAGAGGAACCAGCAACAGAGACTGAGAAGGAATGGCTGGTGAGCTATGAGGAATATCAGGAGAATATGGTATTTGAGAAGCTAAATGAGTTAAGAGTTTTAAGAAGGAAGGAGTGAGCTCTGTGAGAAATCTTTTGAGGTAGGGTATATTTTATTTCTTGAAGTAAGCTTTAGTTTATGAGCCTAGCAATAATTTTTAAATTGTGGAGCTATGAGCTGATTTCTGTGTCTTTGACTGATTGGAGAACCCATTTCCTGGTGGATCAATTAGCCCATTGCTGATCTGCGTTGATGGCAACCTATTTTATTAGAGTACTTGATGAAGTTGGGGAAAAAGTGAGAACTATGTGCTGGACAATTTGCTTTTTCAGTCACTCTCCCATGGTATTATACCAGTCTCTGTTTGGATAATGTAAGTGCAAAAAATTAAAACGTAGGTTTCAAAATTTCCTCTACGAGTTAGAAATAATAAATAGTGTTAATATAATATTCTGTGGTGGGGAATGATAGCCGTCTTGGAATTTGAATCACAGTCTTCTTAACCTTGAGTTTGCAGGCTCTATGACACAGTGAGGCAGACCTTCATTTATCTTTTGATCAACCCCTTCCCCCTCTTTTTTTCTTTCTGGGTTCTGAGGAAGACTGGGAAGCTGTCCCACTTCAGTGTAGTGTGGTCATTTGAGTGTGTGGGTCAGGTTTTGGTTTTCCTATCCTATTGTTTTTCTGCGCACGTTAGTGTATTCTTGCTTTGATACATTGAGGCTCAGTGGCTGTTAAGTTACACAGTGTCCTTAGTATCTATTCTTTGTAGAAAATTTGCAAGATATTATGCAAAAAGAATGTTGAGATTGATCTTGCTTTTATTTTTAACGTGATTGTAAGGCATTTCTTTGTGTTTTAGGTGTATCATTTGTATTTGGTGTGTGTGACCAGAAATTACTAGCACTGGCCCATTTGTTCATTTTTATTCAACAAATATTTATTGGATGCCCAGTATGTTCCAGGCATTGTGATAAGCACTAGGAATACAGCCTGGTGTAGTGTCTCTATTGGCAAATGATCCCATAATTATCAGTTAACAATGATTTATGAATGCCAAGAAAGAACACAAATATATTATCTCTGTTCCAAAAGAGCTGACTGTCTTTAGATTGGGAGACTGATTATTTTTAAATCACATGACTAAGAAGTAGAAGCCAAACTGAGATAGATCATTTGAGGAGAGATAATGTGAGTATGTGGACAGTAAAATGTCACTTGTGATTAGCCATATCCACAGCAGAACCTGTGGAGCAAGAAAGTTTTCTAATAAAATTTTGCTTACTGCAACATAGGTCCTTCACGGGGAGCAATACTTGGAGTTATATAAACCACTTCCCAGAGCAGGTGAGTTCTTGGTATAGTAATGTCATAATACTGTAATTTTATTTTCTGATTAACCTTCTAAAATAGTGTTAGTGTGTTAAATTGGCATAGAGTGACCTAATAAAACATATTACAAGTTATTACATGCATGTAAACCATTAGAGTAGATTGATGTTAACTAGTACCTGTTTTGGTTACCTTGAAATTTGTCTTTTTTTTTTTTTTT